GTGCAGCAATTAATTTACATGCCCAGCTCAGGCACTGTCTCGCCCAAATTTGAGGTGATGGAGAGGGCTATCCAATCTACCTGGCACAATTGTTCTAAGTTTACTGACCTGACACTGATAAATGCTATTGATATGGACAGAAAGAAGTTTAGTATGTTTGTATTTGAGTGCGCTGGAGTCTTAGAACAGGACTTTAAAATGTTAAAAAGTAACAGGAAATGCCAAATATCTCTTGTCAACTCAAGATTTAGTTTGTCAAGTACTTCGATTACTGAGCAGCCAGTGCTGTTCTTTTTTCTAACAGCCTGATATTAAAGCACTCAACTAAAAAGTGGAAATTCCAGGGTTCTTGGCCTCTTCAGTGTACTGAACTGCAGATTCTGACCCCATGAGTCCAGATAAGTGTCTCTCACTATGCTCTGAAGCTGAAGTATAGCACAGTTTACCATTGTAAGGACACAGAGAACACAAAGGAGCTGGGACTCCAGGAACTCCTCATCATCAGTTGTTTCCACAGTGCTTTTTAGTGCTTCCCCGTATACAGAAGGGGGCATGTGGAAAATGTCTCTTTTAGTGTCCAAAATTAGAATGTATCTAAAACCAAACAAAACAAAAGGGCTATATTCCCATCACCTACCTCCACCTAAAATTCAGTGTGTCTTCTGTGTCCCATTTTCTGGCTGTGAGTTTTCTAAAGCATGTACTCAATGGAAATTTTAGCCTAATTGGAATTTAAGCTGCCTGAAAATAGCCCCAAGGCAGCACCAGCAGAATTTAGGGGAAATTGTCTAGCTTCAGTGAATCTGTGCAAATACACAGAGCTCTGGAATTCTTTTGCTGATGTGAGTAGCTGGAGCAGGATGCAGAAGTGCTGCAGGAGTCCAAATCCATCTCCTGTTCCCTTTCTGCTCCCTGAGCACAGGAAGAGAGTGTGGCAGGATGGGTAAACATATGTCTGGGAATGTGGTGCTGTGTGCTGGCAACACAGAGCTTCAGAGGATATTACATGTGTGGGAGTGAAAGAGTGCCTTATTCATACTTCAGAATTGTCAGTATGAAATATTGTGATTATCATTTTAGATTTGACATGTATAACTGCATTTTTAAGGTAGTTTGAATGTGGCCTAAATTACTCTTCCTGTAACTATCTGGTAGAAATGAAATTCAGCTGTCACAGATAAGAGTAATGATATTTATTAATAGAATTGTAATAGAACTTAAATGGGCAGAGTACATCAGGACAGGAGATCACAGTCCTTTAGGGATTGATTTATCCTTGACTTCTATGAGCCTTTGTTATGCTAATGATAGATACATATTCCCCAAATCCTTTTGGTCTTTCTGTGCCTTACCCTTTAATTTCTTTATTAACTCTCTTCCCTTTTCACTACATGTTCTTGTTATTTCGGATCAGGTTTTGCAACTTGCATCATACTTTTTTTACCAAAATGGTTTACTGAGTTCTCTAGCAGCTTATGTGCTTTCCCCTCTTTGCTGCATCTCCTGTCAGTGCTTGCAGAAGGGCCTGTGGGTGAGCTGCCTCCAGCCAGACTGATTTCCTGTGGAAAACCTGTACATGGGTTTCCTTTGCTCCTACAACATTCAAGGCAATTAATCACTCCAAACCTTCATTAATAAACGTAATTGAGGTAATTTGGGGTAAACGTGTTGATGTTTTCTGAACTACTGAATGTTTTATCTAAACATGTAATTTGTTTTTTTAGGCATTTACATAAATATGGCAATTTATGGTGGCCCTGGGTGCTATGACTTTGCTGATGTTGAAAATCCTTCACATTTCTAAAATCAAGATGTGTGTTTAGGTGAATAGTCATGGGCATGTGTGGTTAGCTCAGAGTTAGCAAACACTGATCACCATGATACAAGTTGATTGCAGCCTCCTTATCAGCAGCAAATGAAAAAGCTGGTTTTAGATAGTAATGTCTTTAGGAAGCAAGAGCAAAATATATAGGTCAATGTAGATTATCAGCTGTTAGAATAGGTATAAGACTATTAGAAAGCTATAAGAAAAGCTAGGAAGTACTGAACATTTTTCATGAGCTTTTTTTAACATAAAAAGGAGGTTATTTTTTGGGTTTTTTTCCTGAAACAAAATATGCGACTGTAGTGTGTAGCTAGTTCCTTGTACTTCGTTCAGTGTAGGTATGCCTTGAAACATCATGTACTCTTTCTTGGGACTAGGTATATACGAAACATCAGCAGCATAATTTTACTCATGTGCTGGGCTCTGAACTCAGATGCAATTAAATATTCATCAGGATAGATACCCTGACTCTATCTATACTTGTAGCAACTATGAAAGATTAATTCAGTTATGTTTTCTCTTTAAGGGAAGAGGCAAAATGAGAATTTATGCTGAAAGTTTCAGGTTCCAGGTTTAGAAATTAATGAACTTTACTATGCTTTTTAAGGAGCCTATAAGATAAGTTATCTATATAGAGTTATATTTTTAATAAAATCATTCTCTTTCAAGAGACCTGTCCCAGCATCTTCATTTGGGAGTACTTTGCTGTCTTTACCTTGTCATTTCAAAATACACTGTTTCTTAACTGAATGTGCAGCAAAGAACCTGCACACTAAAACTGAGGGCATTACATAACAGAATAGTGGAGTTTTGCAGATTTTGTCGTATATTATAAATGTGATTTGTATTTTCTGTTTTGTCGATACTAAGATTTTAAATAATATTTTTACCTGAGGGAGTAATTGTTTCTTTGAGGCAGTTTCTAGTAGAATTCATTTATACAGCATTATTCCAAAAGAGAGGGGTTAAAGCAGCAACACAGAAATTCCAATTTCTGCCCCTTGTAGGTGCTTTTTTCCTCCACATTTTCTTCTTATAAAATGTACCTACATTATTAATGAAGTTTGGTCTCAGTACCAGTGTGAAATCTGGAGGGTAAACTCAATCAGCAAGTTTGAAGTCCTAATCCTTGTAAGGCCAGTATGAATAACAGATGATTAATTAAGAGGGCACAGTAGATGGTACCTGTTCCAACAATTGCTGTAGATGTGATTCACTGATTCTGTTTTTCCCTCTGTATTTTGCAGAGCACATTGATTTAGAAGGTGTCTTTGGTTTATAACTATTAGTGTTAGAAGGATAGAAAAATGTGCAAAAAGATTTGAGGATGGTGTGAAAGGAAAGCCATTACCTATTTTATTATCAAATTAGGATTTGCTTAATAAAATAGATTCTTTTATTTTTAATTATGATTGTGCTGCAATTTTCACACACTATTGTATAAATAGGGTTCTTTTCTGAATTTCAGTAATAGATTTTTCTCCAGCTACACCCTCTATGAATTTAGAAAGGAAATTATGACCAGGCCTACACTCTTAGAACACAGCAGGATCAGGATCATATCTTTAAACAGATTTCCTGCACCTCCTTAGGTGGGAGCAGGAATAAGCAAGGCCTCAGTTCAAGCTCGCCATTCGCTTGGTCTTCAGCTTGGCTGAAAGAGATGTCACTTGTAATGCATTTTAAGGTCCTTGCATGACAGTCAATGGCAGTTGCCTATGGAGGGATGGAAGCACAAAAGAGCTGAAATCAATAATCCTTTCTGTTTTGAAACAATAATTAGCTGTCACACAGCTGTGCTGCCAGTGAGCTAGCTGCTGGGACAGATTTTAGTACAGTGATCGGCCCACAAAATTTGGATAAAATAGAAGGAAGCTAAAAAAAAAAAAAAAGGAATTTCTTACAGAGGCATTTAGGCAAACATAAAGTAAGTAAACGTGTCCATTATTATGTATTATAGTGGATGAGACACTCTATAGACAGAAAAGAACAGCTTCAGGTTCACAAGCACTGGTCCTCATAGAGGACTTCAATATCCACAGGGTATTGTGGAGGGGCAACACAGCAGGGCAAGTGCACTCCCGGAATACACTGAGGATAACTTCCTTCTCCTGATACTAGAGAAGCCGTTGGGGAGATGCTCTATGCTGGACTTGTTCTCACCAACAGGATGGGCTGGTGGGGAAGGTGAAGCTCAAGGCTAGCCTGGGCTGCACTGACCATGAAATGATGGAGTTCAAGAGCCTTTGGGCAGGGAGGAGAGTGCACAGCAAGGTCTGGCCTGGACTTGAGGAGAGCAGATTTTGGTCTTTCCATGGAACTGCTCAGTGGAGTGCAGTAGGATAGAGCCCTGGAAGGAAGACGAGCCCAGTGGAGGTAATGAATATTCAAGGATCACCTCACCCAGTCATGCATTCCAATGAAGAGGAAGCCAACACAGTATCCATGTCAGGGGGCTTGGAATTAGATCTTTAGGTCCCTTCTAACCCAAAGCATTTTATGAGTCTGTGATTCTATTTTGTATCGGTGAGAAAAGGAAGTTTTCTGGTGTTCTGTTAACTGAGCCAAAAGAAATTGCAGTGCTAAAGTTGGTACCCTGTTGACTTAAAATGGGCCTATTTTATTTCATTTAATATTTTTTTTGGTAGTAAACATAGCTTTGTTACTTGACTCCTTTCAGGATATACAAAATAAGTGAATGCGACATTCTGTGATGCTAATTGGTATTGAATTAAATCATCCAGTCATGCTAATGTTCAAAATAAGGTAGAATTTGTACTTTTAAATGCATAAAGGTAGCCAGGGAAGTTTGCCAAAAATAAAAAAATAAAACACTTTTTTGTTTGTCTAATTACAAGTTGCTTAAAATTAGTACCTTTTGTATGTGTAATTCCTCTGCATTTTGCATTCAGATGCATTTCTCTGTGTTTATGCCTTCTATGCCTTTTGTGGGTTTTTAACATGTTCATGCTCTTTATGACCACCTTCACTACCCATACCTTTTTCTGTCCATAGTTGTAGGTAATTGTCCACTCCCACATGTACAATTTTTCAGCATACCAGTGATAATGCAGAACAATCAACCAAAATACTATCCACAGAATTTTTGGTTTGGGTGGTTTGCCAGCTCAGCCAAAATACAAAGTTTCATAAAGTTTTATCTTTTGCATTTCAGGATTATAATGATGAAATTCGCCAGGAGCAGCTGAGAGAACTTTCGTACTTGAACGGTTCTGAGGATTCATCGCGTGGACGGGGCATTCGAGGAAGAGGGATCCGTGTGCCACCTGCAGCTCCTTCAAGGTGTGGTAACCTGAGCTGTTATGTTAATAGCTTTACAAAATGTAAGCAACCTTAAAAAAAAAATGTAGTTAAAAAAAAAGAGTTATATACATATCCCAGTCAGTGAACCAAAATATTTGTCTTCAGACAACCAGTGTAGTCTATATTGTTCCAGATTTTCTTATCTACAGGGCACAGTGAGTGACAACAAATGAGAGCAGATTCTGGAGACAGGAAAAGGATATTTCTAAGAAAGAATACTTTTATGCTAGTACTAAGGCAGTATGGTCAGTAGCATAAAATATTTGGTCAAAATAATAGTGTAGTCAGAGAAGGCCTCATAGTCTAGGTGGAACTTTATTTGCCAAATAATTACTTTTTACACATGTTACAGCTATACTGTGTGTATATACAAATATGCTTATGTATAATACTTCATTATGTGTTATGTGTTGATGGATTATCAGTTTTAAGTGAATTTCATTGGCATAACCTTAAAACATTGGGGTGTGAATTTTCTGAATTTTCCCCAGTATTTTTTCATGTCTAAATAGCATATATCTCTGCTTATTATTAAGGCCAGTGTAAAATCTTAGAACAATCTCTCAGACTTGTTTTTTCCTTGTCAGCCCTTAAGAACTTCATTGCCTCAAGTATCTAAGTTCCCTAGCTGCTTCCAGTCTTCTCTCCATAGAGGTCATTTTAAAATGAGTCTTAAAAGTGGACTCTTATTTTGGAGGAAACAGGATATGGGGTACCTTATGTTATGCTGACAAAGGAGTTGTTCAGTAATTGAATGGGCTGATCTTTCCTATGACCTCTGAGTTTATTCCCTGGGGGTGTCTGGTCATGTTTGCCATCAGTTTTCCCTACTTGAGCTTTTTTAATTGGTAGTATGATGCACTTACACAGAATTTTTTGCAGTTGGCATTCATGAGCATCTTCTACTCAAAGAGTGTCTGGGCTCAGTCTTCCTTACATCCAAGATCTATGAACAGCTTCACTTAATGATGTTGTTCGGAATGTCACTGCAGTGGCATGCTAGTTTGTTAACTGGAAGCTTTTAAATTGGGTTCAAAGCATAATCAGTGGAGTTCTGGCCCCTAATTCCTGCAAAATGCCCAAATGAATCAGTTGCACAGATCCTATGATCTTGGATACCTTCCCTATTTTCCAGTCAAAAATCCCAGGAGAGTATTTAAAAAAACCTGTTGAAGCAAGTCTAGAGGAGGGCCACAAAAATGGTCTGGAGCACTTCTTATGAAGTCAGGCTAAGAGAGCTGGGTTGTTCAGCCCAGAGAAGAGAAGGCCCCAGGGGTAACTCATTGCAGCCATTCCATATATAGAGAGGTCTAATAAGAAAGAGAAAGACTTTTTCCAGTCTTAAATTAAAAGAGGTTGGACATAGGGAAGAAACACTGGAGAAAGCTGTGGGCGCCCCATCACTGGAAGTGTTCACAGTCAAGTTGGACATACCTTTAATAATTCGATCTAGTGAAAGATGTCCCTTCCAACACAAACCATTCACTGATTCTGCAAGTCTAAAATCAGGTACTGAAACTTGTAGTAAAGTAATGAACATCACAAACTAATGCAGTGGGTTTGGCTGTCTCAGCAGGAAACAAGCCACAGTTCCTACTGCTACAGGAGACCTGAGTTCCATTCACAGCTGTGGATCTGGGTGTCATGCATGGTTGTTATACCTGGCATTCACAGTCTTCCAAAAACAGCACACCCAGGAGCATATTGCTCTGAAACAAAACTCACAAACTGCTACCCTGATTTATCCCCCTTCTGTTTCATCATATGGTATAGATACAAGTCTTTTTAACAGTAGAAGCTTCTTCTGATTTACTAATTTGTACAGCAAGGAAGATGTAGCATAAATAGCCCGGAGGATGCTGAACCTCTTTCCATGCTTGTCTATATGCTCTATTCTCTCTGTGTAGTGGGGGAAGGTAGAATCCCACACTACCAATCCTATGTGCTGAACTTAATTAGACAGGAAGAAAAGTGATTCCTCTCCTTTTATATCCTTCCTCTACTTTGCCTTGCAAGTTTGTGCTGTCCTGCAATATCTTCTGCCAATCCATTTCTCTCACCCACCAATAAACACGAAAATGAGAGTTATGACTGCTCTTCTAAAACAGTTTGAGAGCAGCAGAAGAGGTTCCTCATTTTCTCCATCTTCTAGAACTGCTTTGGAGTAATTCTGCAACCCTGTGAATTACAATGATTCAGAATTTTATTAGTACAAGCAACAACAGGATCAGGTGCAAAAGGCACTGAGTAGTTTAAAAATAATGCCTTTCCATAATATGAGTTCTGCCTGAGATGTTGCCTAAAAGTGCTTGACATTGTAGCTGCCAAAACCCCAGAGTTACATGATGCTTTAAATAGTAGTAAAAACGTGAGAGCCTTTAAAATGGGTCATGTCTTCCTTCGTTGTACACGCCAGAGTGATCATCCCTTTTTGCTCCCCGCAGGGGCCGTGGGGGTGCCATTCCTCCCCCGCTGCCTGGACGAGGTGCCCAAGCGCCCCGAGGAGCGCCGGTGACACGCGGGGCGCTCCCCGTCCCTCCGGTGGCCAGGGGCGTCCCCACCCCTCGGGCCAGGGGCGCCCCGTCCGTGCCGGGTTACAGGCCGCCCCCGCCGCCCGCACACGAGGCCTACGAGGACTACGTAAGTAATGCCTTCATTCACAGAGGGTGAGCCATGCTCTGTCATGGGCATCGAGTCCTGCCGGGATGGAATGGGCCAGGCCAAAAGCTCCTCTGTCTCTAACGCTTCTCCCTGCAGGTGAACCACGGTCTGGGTGATGCAATGTGGCTGCAGGCCTGTGCTCGGCCATGTGGGTTTGTAGATTTGTTCACAGCTTAGTTTTGGATATAAGAGATCATGCTGGATCGTTCTTGGGGTGTCACAAAAGAGCAATACAGATATTCAAAAATTTGTGTAGTATGCCTAAAGTGAGTTTTTACTGTAACCAAGTTCCTAATAGCCTTTGTGTGAAAATGAGGAGGTGGAGGGGGAGGCATGCTGTTGTTCCAAATCCTTTTTATTACATATTTGTATTCAACACCGTGTTACAGATACATAACAAATAGAAATTGAGGTAGTTTTCATGAAAGCTGATACAGTGATTCATCTTAGCCAGGATCAGTACTAACTGACTGTCACCTTTTCTTATGAGGTGTTAAAAATAATTGTGCGGTACACATCAAAGCTTTCAAGACATCCTCATTAATGTTTCCTCCTGGAACTATCACCATAACAACAGATATCCAAATAGAGAAGAAAGTGCTATCAAATATGATGTCTGAATTTTTCCACCTATGGCGAGTCCAAGAGTAAGATGAACACCGACCTATTTCCTAATCCTATCACCAGGGAAAGATGCACTTTTATTCAATTAAGTCTTCCTAGAACAGAAGAAAGGAAAATGAATCAGAAATTATTCTTTGTTGTTAAAGCTTCACTCAGCCATGTATATTTGTAGTATAGTGACTAGGTCACGGCCACTTCAAATCAGGGATGCACATGCTGTTAATTCTAAGAATCACAACCGAGCAACAGCAAGAAAGGAGGGAGAAAAAAGTCACTCCTCTATTATTTACTTCAACACAGTTGCCATTAGTGAATGACCTAAAAGTCCTGCTAAGAAGTGAAATTTCATAAATATGCACTTCCTTGACAGTGTATTATTGTCTGTTAGTATCAAAATGTATGAGACCTTCATTTCTGTGCAGATACAGAATAATGTAAAATTAGGATTATAATTGAAGTAATTTCTTTTTTCCTTTACAGTACTCGTAAATGTCCTAGAGTATTAAGCATCTTCTAGAGAGCATTTATTGCACTTTTTCTGGATGGTAAACATATGGAAAACAAAATGAGAGAGACTTGAGGCAGCTGGATTATCCAGGTTAGGAGGGCATGAGCTAGTTCCCCATATTTTTTAAATGCCCACACTCTAAGAAGCACAAAACATAGACACAATTAAAATAGTCAGTTTAATTTGTGGTACATTAGTCCAGTAAAAACAAATATATGTGTTAGTGGCTTTTTCCCCCTTCTTAGATAGCAGCAAAAAAAGGTGCCACCCTATAGGTCAAAATTCACATGTTTTGGAGATCTTCCATCTCCTGTGTCCTTTCATCATCTATATTCCACAGCTAGGAATATAGGAGCTTGCTATCATGCACCAGTTTGCAATGAAAATTTCTTGTTATTTTATGGAAGTTTGTAAGTTCAATCTAAATAATTTTGGTATATTATGGGCTGAGATAATAACTAGAACTCTGATGCTATGCTGGTAGAAGGAAAAGTTCACTGTCACATATCTGCATAAAATACTGAAAATGATGTTTTAGGGAAAATATTTTTATTTTGTCGAAAGTAATCAACACAGCTTTTCTTCCCAAATAAACCATATAATAAAATCAGATACTTGGCTGGACACTAAAAACAAGTGAATCTATTTGTGGACCTACAGCAAATGTCATGTATAATTGTTGTTCTTTCCCCCTTAATCCTACAGATGAAAAACTAATTTATAATGAATAATTTATCCAATTTACTTTTTTTTTTCCAGCTTCTAAGCAACCGACAAGTGTATTAGAATTTCCTTATGAGTTTATATTTTTCATTTTTGATTACAGTATTTCACACCATTTTTTCGCTACTATTTGCAAGCACCATTGGTTTGATTAGTGGTATATGAATGCACTGTCATTGATTGTGAATATCCATATTCTGTATTTTTGTTTTCTCTAATGAAATATAGTAACTTGAATGCTGATCTGAAAGTGAATTCAAGAAATAGAATTGAATGGCTACAGCAGATTTTTAAAAAATGTTTAGACAGCATTTCTTGAAAAAAAAAATCTTTAGCCATTTGCTGAGCACTGCTAATCAGAGATTGTATTGACTGTTTGACCTTGAAACATCTAACTGTTCAAATGGGTTTGGATAAGCATTTAAAAGTTTGGATTATCCGCTATATAAATATTTTGAGGTTTCCGTATGGCCTTTCTGAGAATTCATAAAAGCAGATGTCTGAAGGTTTCTCAAGAATAGTGTAAGTCTTGTCATTGTGGTGAATATATTCATGTGCAACATTTTGAATGTCAGGCCTAGCCAGAGGGAAAAACATTTGGAACAACTTTCAGAAAAGAGGGCTGGAGCAGGAAGGAGTGTTTCACTTCATACCTTTCTCTTTAGTTACCTTTGAAACTTTATATTGAGTTCAACCTAGATAATATCTTAGAAGAACTTCTTACCTGCAGCAAGAGAAGGTACTAACATTAGAAAATACATGCAAAGGGAAAGTAGTTACTATGTGAGCCTTCTCCACTTTAAAAGCAGTTCATTGGGTGTGAATCTGAATGGAGAGTGTAACTGGCAGCTGCCTTGCAGCTTCTGGGATCAAGAGGGTTTGTGACCTGGTGTTGTATTGTAACTGCAGCCACACACGGGTGCTCCCGTCCCTGGCAAGGTCAGGGAGAGACTAAGTGTAAAAGTGAGAAAAGTGTTGAGTTGAGACAGGATAGTTGTAATGAGTTGGTACTGGCTGGATGCAAGGCACCCACAAAAGCATCTCTATCACTCCCCTCCACAGCTGGACAGGGGAGAGAAAATATAATGAAAGGTTTATGAGTTGAGATAAAAACTGTGAGAGAAATCACTCACCAAAGTGAGTGATACTATCAAGGGCAAAATAGACTCAGTTTGGGGTTGTTAATTTAATTTATTACCAACAAAATCAGAGCAGGATAACGAAAAGCAAAAGAGTTAAAAAACACCTCCCCTCCCACACCCCCATCTCCTTCCCAGCTCTGCCCCCTCCCCAGGTGCAGGGAAACAGGGAATGGAGGTTACAGTCAGTTCATCACAGGTTGTTTCTGCTGCTGCTCAGAGAAGGGAGTTCTACACCTGCTCCAGTATGGGATCCTCTCTTCAGAGGTCTGCAGATTCCTGCCAGGAGCCTGCTCCAGCACAGGCCTCCCATGGGGTCATAGACTCCTCTCAGGCACCCTCCTGCTCCAGTGTGGGGCTCCTCCAAGGGCTGCAGGTGGATCTCTGCATCCCCATGGCTCTCCATGGGCTGCAGGGGCACAGCTGCCTCACCATGGGCTGCACAGGGGCTGCAGGGGAACCTCAGCTCTGGCACCTGGAGCACCTCCTGCCCCTCCTTCTGCACTGACCTTGGTGTCTGCAGAGCTGTTCTCCCACATGTTCCTCTCACCCCACTCTTCTCTGCCCACAATTACATCTACCTTCTTTTTTTTCTTCTTCTTTTTAAATATGTCACCACAGAGGGGCTAGTATCAACTCTGGTTGGCCCAGCCTTTGCCAGTGCTGGTTCTGTCCTGGATCCGGCTCTGATGAACATGGGGAAGTCTTCTGGCATCTTCTCACAGAAGCCACCCCTGTAGCTCACACCCCACTCTTCTCTGCCCACAATTACATCTACCTTCTTTTTTTCTTCTTCTTTTTAAATATGTCACCACAGAGGGGCTAGTATCAATTCTGGTTGGCCCAGCCTTTGCCAGTGCTGGATCCGGCTGGATCCGGCTCTGATGAACATGGGGAAGTCTTCTGGCATCTTCTCACAGAAGCCACCCCTGTAGCCCCCTCCCCCACTACCGAAAGTTGGCCAGTTGGCCACACAAACCCAATAGGACAGTTACATGGATAGACTGGGGGGTGGACTGAGAAATGGCTGAATGGCACATCCCAGGCAGTTGTGATCAGTGGCACAGGGTCTAGTCGGAGGCCTGGCACTGGTGGTGTCTGCCAAGGTTCAATACTGAGCTCAGTATTGTTTAAGGTATTCATCAGGGACTTGGATGAAGGAGCAGAGGCCTCCTCAGCAAGTTCACTAACAACACAAAGCTGGGAGGAGTGGCTGATTGTCCATTCCACTTGTAGCCCTTCACAGGGACCTTGACAGGCTGGAGAGATGGCAGAGAAGAACTGTCTGAAACTCAGCACTGAAAAATGCAGGGTCCTGCACCTGGGGAAGAATAATGCCAGGCACCAGCACAGGCTGAGGGCTGACCTGCTGCAAAGCAGCTCTGTGGAGGAGAACCTGAGGGTCCTCTAAAGGCTAAGGTCTTGTTGGCAACTTGTGAACAGGCAATAGGCATGACAGATTGAGGTTCATGACTTATACAGAAGTGAAGAGTGCTTGAGTAGATCTGCTGCTATTGAGGCAATAAATAATAGAATCATAGAATCATAGTTTGAGTTGGAAGGCATCTTACAGATCATATAGTTCCAAACTCCCTGCCATGGGCAGGGTCACCTTTCTAGACCAGGTTGCTCAAATCCCCATCCAACCTGGCCTTCAACACTTGTGGATGTGGGGCAACTTGACTGGGCAAAGGCAATGTTCTGCGCAGTATGTTTTGGTCCAAACATCCAGACTTTTCCACTCAAGATTAAAGCTAAATATTGGAAGTCTGCTTGATCTAAATCTAAGCCAAAATTATTGTTGCTTTCTGATCCTGTTTTGGAGGACATTTGACTCTGAATCTGTATTTTTTTCCTTCTGAATCAGAAGCTAGTAATGAGCTGTTGGGTGATATTTTTCTTTACATTTTTTAGAAGCTATAGTGAGCCTTGCTAAGAGGTCTGATGTGAGTTTTGAAGTGACTTTATCACTTGTTCCCTTACAC